TTGTCCACACAATTAATAATAATAATAACTATGATCCTTGCTATTGTTACCGCAGTCGTTAATTAGAAGCCATGAAATTTTAATTTGTTGTTGTTTTAATTTTGTTTTTTTTTAAATTGGTTTATTTAATATTTTAAATTAAACTTAAATTGTTGCTTAACCTTTTAAACAAATTATGTTCGCAAATAAGCCAAATTGCGCCACGGATGAGAAAATAAAGGAGACCCGGACCCTTTTTCCCTATTTGTATAATTTTGAGCAAGTTTTTTTTGGGGGAAAATCACAACAAACCAAAAATTAAGGCTATGTGGTCCAAATTCCCAATTGTCGATTTACTAAGGATAAATTTTAATTTTTACATCAAATTATTATTATGAACGAATTTTCATCAAGAAGTATTGCAAATTATGCTTTGTCCTTAGGAATAGTTATATGGCAAGGGATTCAAAAAATTGCCATATCCGATCCAAAATTCTCACATCTATTTAGAATGCCGGCATACTATTACTAAGCGTGTTTTGTCACGGATGTATGACAATTGCATTATTTTTTTAATAGGGCTTTATATGGAGACGTTAACCTCAAAAAAAAAAAAGAAGAAAATTCAAAGAAATTTAAGTTGAAAAAAAAAAAAACAAAAAATTAAAATAAAATTTAAATAAGTAAAAAGTAAGTATAGTGGATCATGGTCTTCCATCATATATCCTATACTGCATTGTTTAACACAACTATTTATATAATAACTTTTCAAAATAAGCCGTTATATGGGAAGTGGCCGAAAAAGTGGATCGATCCGAAACATTTCTAAGGACACTCATCCCTGGAGAAGAAACATGTCGGTGGATTAAATTTCATCAAAATATCTCAATAATTGCGTCACGTAGGTTAAATACAAGAACCAAGCCAGAGAGGTCAGACAAACGGGGAGATCGATGCGCAGATCGATTCAGAAAGTAAGAAAAAGTGCATCTGTCGTAGAATCTTCTGGGTTTTGTAAACATCCGCACATACTTAATATATCCTTGTACAACAAGTGGTATAAGTATAAAAACACAAACACACGAAATTTCGTTACTTTATTATGCCACCTTAGCTTAGCCGATTCTTTCCACTCCTGGACAAATAATTTAAGATCGTTTATAGAATATACTTGGAAACTGGTAATTGCGTTTGTCATTGTGAACGAGTGACGACGAAAAAGTTTAGCTTATTTTCTTTTGCCAAGGGGACGTGCTATTAATTTGTGTTGCACTGCAGGTATTTCCTTCGACATATTTCCATACCAGTGCCCGTCTAGGTCGGGGAGCTTTCAACTTTTTGTTATCAAATTTGATTTAATTTTTGCCATGGCGAGATCAATAACCAACGGGCAGACAGGCAGCCAGATATAGAAACGGACATGCCTACTGCATATAAGCAAAATGTTCCTATTAATCAAATATTTGAAGCTTTCGATTTGTTGTTGTCAACGTTTGGACAAAGTGAACATATCAGCAAAATTTTGGTGAATGAGTGTAAAAAAGAAAGCAATCGATCTTCGCAAAAGTTTATTATTTCTTCCCAGATATTCAAATGAGAAGTTCGCAAGACCGTAAATATGAAAAAAGTTTTTTACACGAAATATGGAAAACTTCACACAGATTACTTACTTAGTATGCATACAATATATTTTTACTTGCAAACCTTTTTAACTTACATTTGGTTTCGCAAGCAAATATTCCCATAAAGAAAAAAAAAAAAAAATGTTTATATAACGACATCAGGCATATGTAGAGGTAAACTGCTATTTATACTCATGCATGAGTTTTTATCATTATTATTATTATTTTTATTATTATTATATATTTTTTTGTTGTTGCTGTAATAAATATTTTATATTATATATTAAATTGAAAATTCCATTCTATTGTATTGAGGTGAAATATGTGCGTGTGTGCGTGCATATAGTGTTCAATGATATTTTATAATTTATATGTACGCGGGACTATGCGATGCGTTATGTAAGCAGTCTATGCACAATGAATATGCGTTAAAGTGTATAACAGCGGCTGACGTACGAGTACAGTTTGTCTGATGTTTAATAAAAAGGATGTAAAGAATTCGATTTTGTTTAATTTTTTTTTTTTTAATTTAATTTTTTTTTCCCTGCTGCGGTTATTATTAAATGTTAAAAATATCTGTTGTTTATTGACCACAACCGAACCGAACAACTATTGTGAGTTTGTTGGGATAATTTGAGCACACGGAAACGGAAGTGGCTGCACGCATATGTATGTTACCTACGTTACACTAGCAAACACACACACACACGAATACATGAAAACTATTATATACTCGCCTAGCATTTGTTTGTTCGTTTGACAGCTAACCACAAAATGTGTTTGGCTTTCATTAGAAGAACAACAGTCATGCGTTTCGCGTGAGTTCGAATTTTGAAAAATCATAACAATAAAGGAAAATAAAAGAAATCTCTATGAAAAGACAGCGGCGTCGATCAAAAATCAACAGACCTCCGAAAAATGAAACGATTTTTTGTTCAAAATTTGAGAAATCCGTTTGTTCCCTAATTCATGTTTCGTTTCTTTTAATTCTCGAATGATGTTGTAGAGCAAGTTTACTGAGAGCGTATGCTTTGAAGTGTAACAGCATGGACGACTGCTTGGAGCAACTTCCTCGATCGATTGCCCATTTATCTAACTGAATGGAGACCAATGAGGTTTCTTACTCAACATCTTTCTTTTTTCAACTTTTATGAAACACTCTAAGATGGGGGCAAATAGAATTTATGTTTTCGCAACTTTTGATCAGCAATCTATTATTTATTATTAATATATGTTTGAAATACTAGATGCTTGCGCGTATTTTGATCAGCGATATGTATTGTTAATATGTAGTGCAAATGGCATAGTAATGCCAAGTAGATGATTTCGACCTTTCTCTGCATAAAAGGAATGTCTTCCCTTTATTATTAAAGAGGCATTCACTACGTGCAGGCACTAACCATAAAACGCTTAGAATTGCATTTTCGCCATTCATTACTTCTCGTTGCTTAATTTGAAGGAATCTACTGCCGCACCTCATCTAACACTTTTAGAAGCTTGTGGTGATGATGTTCCATCACATCCCAATTGTCAGTTTTGGTTTCGACAGTTTAAAAGTGGTGATCTTGATGTCAATGACACGGAACCAAAACCCACAGGACCAAAAAGTTCGAAGACAAAGATAAGGAGAAATGACTGCCATACGAATTGACTGAAAATGGTATTTCGAACATCACTGCGAGCCAAGCATAAAAGAAGGAGGTCTCTGTGGCTTATTATGACTGGCAACGAAAGGTGGGTGTACTATGATAATTCCAAGCGGAAAAAGTCATGGGTTAATCCGAGAGAGCTATCTATATTGACCTCGAAGCGGGATATTCATGGCAATAAAGCCCTGCAGTGCATACGGTGCGATCATCAAGGTAAAGTATATTACGAGCCGCTATCATTTGAACAATGAATGAGCTGAACGATATGGTATTGGAAAAGTGACCGGCAATAGCGGTCGCCAGACGCAAAGTTATCCTCTTGCATGACAACGTTCGGCCACACTTTACAAGAGTTTTCAAGGATATACTGTTGCAGTTTAAATCGGAAGTTCTACCGCAGTCTTCGCCCTCACCACACATAGGTTCGTCTGATATTCACTTGTCCGGAACCATGTAGCATAGCTTTGTTGGCATACGGTTTCGAAATGCCGAAGAAGTGCGACAGTGGGTTGGCGATTGGATCACTGCCAAGCCAATATTCTTCTTTCGAGACCCCATGGCTATGGTGTCAAAAAATATTTCGATTAACATATACTGTACTAATTTTCCTCAATAAATTGTCTTTTTCAAGTGAAAAATGATTGAAACACATGCCAACTTTATAGACATTATATAGAGAACGCTGCTCTTGCGAAAAGTATTTTATATGCTAGCAAATAAAAATTAATAATAAAACATCTTGCTTCCAAAAAATGTTGGAGAAATTATTGCGGCAGTACGTTCAAAAGAAAAAACACGTTCAGGTTTTTATGAACACTGCAGCATACATGTTTGCCAACTATATATATGTATACATAAGGAGCACGTTTCCTACTGAACATAATATCACACATCTGATCATCGCGTAAATCATGAGAAAGACGAATTAAAAATGCTTACGAAGAAGAATGCAAACTGTGATGATAAAACTAGATCAAGACCAACGTGTGATTATGATGATGTTCCACAAAAAAAAAAAGAGAAAGTGTAAGTAATTCTTTTTAGGGCTGGCCATGCTAGAATATTAGCACTTGCTTTTGCCAGGCTTACCGCAGAGGTCGGCTAAAGCTTAGTTGAAGTTTCGAGTAGTCACATGTATATTTGATTAGCGTATAGATAGTGACGGCGTAAAATATTCGATGATGTCTATGTGCTTATCTGTTATTATTATTTCTGTTCAAAATGCGCTTACGATCTAAAGATTTCATTTTGCAGAACACATTCGTTCGGAAAATTGTTTTCATCACTGTTCCTCCTTTTAAACTGCGAAAAACTAGAAAAAAAAGCAAAATCAATCTCCGCATCCTTCCAGTTATACTAAAGCTTGCCTCTTTTCTAAATCATAGTATGGAAATTGTATATCATTTGATCTAGAACTTTGAGTTTCAAATTTTGTCTTAAGAAAATAACCGAAAGAAAATGGTTGTAAACAGGGAGCACACCCTGACTGAATGGTCATGTCAATCCTACACAAGCTAGCGACTTAGAAGCGGTTGAATTCACTTGCTTTCTTGGATAGAATCGGTTTTCTTTTGATTTTAATAACTTAACCCTTTAATGACTTATTATAATAAAATTAAAGTGAATTAAAAAAACTAATTAAACAAAGTAATGCGCGATTGTATTGTCATAGCTTACAAAGTTGTCCATAGAATGTGTTATTCAATATCTAACTTATTTAAATTTTTTTTTTGAATTGATTTGCTTACAGTTATGGCGGTATACGTGGAGGTTATCAGCATTTTGCGCCACAAGGTGGTCAAGATTCGGGTTTTCCCAGTCCACGTAGTGCTTTAGGTTATCCATTCCCGCCCATGCATCAAAATACCTATTCCGGTTATCATTTAGGCAGTTATGCGCCGCCATGTACGAGTCCACCAAAGGATGGTAAGTATAATAATAATAATAAAAAAAAAAAAATACAAAAAAAAAAATGTTATTCTTTCCCATGAGTTAAAAGCATTTTCAGCAACTTTTACTTATTCAGTAACCATATGTCAAGAAGTTTTGTTTGTAAAGAAATCCACAAATCGTATCATCATACAAGTTATGAAGTAACTCTTATGATAACTTACAGTTTTTCTATTGTTTGTGATAATTTGTTACTTTCATCTTTACATAGCTATTGAATTAAATAATAATCGACAATGAATACAATACACGCACTCACACAGAAATATAAACAGCTCCTATAAACTTAAGCTCACTGACGAAAACCTCTTGAGTTGATTTCATTATTTATGTAGCGGATGCTATGACTATCGTATGGATAATTTTTAAAGGTAGAGAAAAGATACAATGAGTGTTGGGCCTTTTTTTTTGTCTTCTTTACTTCGTCTTCTTCTTTTTCTTCTTTTTTTCTTCTCATTCTTTTTTATCGTCTTCTTCTTTTTATTTAATAAAAATCATTTTTATCGTTTGTTTGCTAAGCTTATTGTCTGATATATGCGAGGGATTCTGTCTACTTATAGATCTCGTGCTCTGGCAGCCTCAGCCAGCATATGAGACGGATAGACGGACATTGTGTTGTTTGTTGATGATTTATTTGCTCTGATGTTTTTATTGTGGCCAAATTCACACTTATCAAGAGCTCTTCAAGAAATCACTTGAGCTGTTTTTTTTTTCTTTCTAAATACCTACAAATACATACAAATACTTACAAATAATGGCATGTATATATATATATATATATATATATATATGTATGTTTATATATGTGTATGTATGTATATATGAATGCCTACACGTACATCGAGGTTTCTAAATTGAGGGATTTTTGTTATTGAAATCTTTGAATAAATTCGCGTTTGCGTTTTCATCATAAAAACAATTTGAGGTTATCGAGCACTTCACAGTGCTTTAATAAACACCTCCTGCCGTGTTGTTGCACGTATTAATTTATAAAGGGATAAAAGGGAAAATATTTATTTAGCAATTGTTTTTTAACTAATGAAATGCTCTACTGACACCTGCCAGTAAATTAGTGTTTATTTAATCGTCAATAGCTTTTGTTTATGTTGATGCTTTTGTTTGTTTTTGAAACGAGACCGTTTCGATTCATTTGTGATGCCATGTTTTTGTTGTTGTCTAACAAGGTTAAATATTTGACAATTGATGGCTATGTGATCATTAATTCGATACGAGTACCGATTACATCATTTGAATTCTATTAAATTTAAATCATTTCCACTACCAATACAAACACAAAGTAAAAAAATAAAAAAATATCTAGATTTTTATATCGAGTATTGAAGATACAATGGGCGAGGAGAATATGTATGTTATTTCCTTTGCAAATCACTCGAGAATATGATAAAATGGATAGATTAAATTATGTAACCCCTCTGATCTGAATTAGCGATATCTGTACCGCACCGTACCGGTTGGTGCATTTTGTTCACGTTGACCTTTCTCTATATACTTTTTGATTCTTTCTATCGATTAACTAGCCGTAGATGCTTTTTTCCGCCGAATAGGCCGTCTTAGCCGTCTGTCTTCCCAAAGTTCATTCCGACATTTTACTCAATATTCAGTTCAGGATTCATCTCAAAGACCACCGCAACATTCGTCCCAACATCACCTAGACATCCATTTCAATGTCCATCCCAAGGTTCATTTCGGCGTCCGTACCAAGTTCCATTCCGAAGTACCTTTCTCCCTATTCCACTTTATATCCACATATCTGTCAATTCCTCTTTAGCCCTTAACAATTGTCTTTTTCTTTCCGCACTTCTGAAGGCCGTGCGACCAGAATTTTTCGTTTTTATTAATCCCCGGAATTTTGAATATTTGGTTCTTTCTCCGTCGGTCCAAACTGTCTGCTTGAATGCACTTCCCTAACCCTTTAACGACTGTTAACTGTCTTGCATTTTATTGAAAATTACTCCCCCATTTTTTTTATGCGGTCTTTTTCCGCCTGCCTGTTCGTCGTAAGCTTCGATATTCTTCCTAAGCTCTCTCCATCTATTGATCCCGATATCTGTTTTCTGCCCTCTTTTACAATACTGTGTACTCCATTTCTTCGTCCATCTTTTATCTCTGTGTCTGCCTCATCACACTCTTTTCCATTTACCGGTCGCGTCGTCATTCATCTTTCCCGTTCTACCTTTCTCTTCATCTATTCCTCAGTTTTTTGTTCACTTTTATTCAGCTTTTTTGTGCGTCTCGCCATAAGTCTCACAATCCTTCCTAAACGCTCTTCGCCTATTAATCTTTCTTTTATTATCCCTTTTATTACGTGACTGCTCGTGCTGCCAACATTTGTATTTTCGCCTTCCCTATCGTTTCTGACCCATTTCCTACACATCGCTACCTTTGTCCTCATATTGTTTTATCCAGACATATTTTCTCTTCTCTTTACATTATCACATCCAGCTGTTTTCCAATACTCTTTCTATTTTCCAACATATTATTAGTAATAGAAAATGATAGGAAATTTGAGATAACATTTTTTTAAAGTTGGAGCTCAAAACTAGTCCAATGCAAGCACGACTAACAAAAGAAGACAGTGCTTTATTTACCGATAGTTTCAGATTTTCGCCAAGGTGAAGATAGTTTTCTTACTACCATTGCTTTGAAGTACAAAATAACAATTATTGCTAAGAGAAGCGAAAAGCTCGATAATATCGAGTCTCCGTCAAGTGTTTGCTAATTTTTCACAAATTTGGGATACAATCTAATCATCTAAGAGTCTTTCGTAGTGACGTAGCAAATATAATTTTATTCAGATATTGTGGAAGACTATGCATGTTATGATGACGGACGTAGCAACTCAAAGTGAAAGTATCTGTTAAATCTGAATTTTTATAACCCTTGCAATAAGTGTATGGATGTAATTTCTTTTTCTGTTTTAACAAGCGATACCAAACCAATTGATGTAAAAAGATAAGATGGAGGAAACTTATAAAGGGTTAAATCTACCCGCAGATACATTGTATATATAATTTATTAATCTTCCAAAAAAAAGCTTTCTTTTTTTTTCGCAACCACCCCTCGAGTATATTAATTTTATCACATATAAGTGACGCCTAGAAATATGCATCGAAGACTATGTAAATTGAATGTTTTAAATATGCAGCAATGTCCACTTAGCCAGACGGGTTTGTTCCCTTTTTATTTTGCAAGGTTTTCTATTTTTTTTTTGTGTTGCAAAGTTTTGCACAAATATATCCATACATTTAGATATATATATATATATATATATATACATTTATTTATATACATAAATATATGAATGCTTGTATCTATGCAAGTGTACACATGTTAAACCATTTTAAGGCTGTAAATAGCATCCACTCATACAATAAAAGGAAATTAATTAACTTTAATTTTTACGTATTTATCTCTGATTACATGAAATAACAAAAAGATCATAAATTATTTTATTACATAGGAAAAAAAAACAAAAAAAGAAAAGATAACTTTGTACAACAATTAATTTATGCATTTTATGTACACATACGTAAAACGTATGAATGCATGACATTTAACTGCACATATGTTATATGTATATGTGTATTTGGGTATGTGTGAATGTATATACGTATATATGTATATGTGTTTGTGTATATGTATATATGTGTATATGTATTTATATATATATACACGAATGTATACCTTAGTGTCGGCCTCTATATTAGTCGGTTATCTGTCTGTCTATCCGTTTGTCTGTCTGGATAATTGTAATTGCTGTAATTAAGTTTTCATTTGGCGTTGTAATTAATTACTAACCATTCTTTTATTTTCTGTTTTTCTTGCTTTCTTTGACTGATAGTTGGTCGACAGCGCGGTGATACGCACGCTTCTGCATGTGTATGGTAGCTATAAACATATGTTAATGTTTTCATTTTTGCCATAAATTAATACCGGCTGTCCGTGTGTGCGTTTGTGTAAATGAATTATTATTATTTTGCTCGCAAACATTTTTGCCAAAAATATGAAATATTTGCCTTAAGGCAAATCTTGCTCAACCATCACTTGTGGTAAATGCAAGAACATCGCTAAGTAATCTTTTTCAATTTTGAATATTAAATAAGTCGATCGACTTCTTTTTTCATTAAACCCATATTTCATAAATTAATATTTCGATCTTTATCTTCGATAATCTACAAAATATTAATGAAATTTTCTATCGAAATCTCCAGATTATTCTCTGTTGTGTTTATTTCAACTTAGCAGCAGTTTTGCTTATACTAAACTGCTGCTTACTTTGCCTAATTTTTCGAGTTGAAATATTTATTATGCTACCATTGCAAATGTTATTTGTTGCTTTGGGCGTCCAGCAAGTTAATTTACGTCCTACGATTAGAACTTGTTTATCAGTATAGGCTAATAGATCGATTAATAGGCAAATAAGCGAAGAGACCAAACTAAGACCATTAAAGAGATCTAAAGTAAACCATTAAAATTTGCCCCCAATGGTTATTCTTCATTATTGCATTATGTTGTCTAAGTTAGATGCTGCTTATGCAGTTTGTACTTGTAGGTCGAATGATAGAGAAAAGAGCCGCAAATATTGGCTGGACTGCTTGCGGTTGCGTGCTTCTACAGCAAATATAATTTTCTGAAAACTAAAGTATTGTGCAGGTACCCCCATATTTATTCAGTGCATTAGTCTTCCTTTGCTGCTATAAGCAGCTTTAAGCTCAATGATAGCTAGGCAATCACTTAAATAAGCCAGCGTGACAATTGTTTAGACCGGCCTGCCCATAAATGACTGTTACGGCTCTAAGAACTCGAGTCGAAGTACTCGCCACATAACAAACATGTTGTCAATGTTGTTGAGAATTGAAATGTTTTACTACATGAATCGCTTTCTCAACACGTTGTTATAGGACTTCTCCGCCCGACTAATTTGTCGTCGAATCACTTGTGCATAATGGAAGAAATTTAATTATGGTATAGGAAAACGCCAAAATCCTTTTCCCCAAACATTCAAAGACATATTATTACTTATGACTTAAATTAACGTTATAATCGAGCAAAGCCGACCGTTACTTCATCTTATACAATTTTTGATTAATGTTTGAAGTAACAGACCAAATAGTGAATGGGGGATGACCAAAACGTTAGCTGAGGTGGTCCAAATCCAGTACCTTTAATTTTTTTTTTTTAAAGTTTTATTATTCTTCATCTGCTTTCGTCATAAAAAGCTATAAACCAGACTTTGTCGCTAGATAAATGCTTATCTTTCATGAGGACCCTTAAATATGATGATATCCTACGTGATCTAAATTTCCGGTCGCTAAGTTTTAAAGCCAAATATTAAAAGTTGGAGCTTTTCGCAAAGCGCTACATAATCATTAGGACTCTTCTAAAAAGAAAGGCCCAAAGGTATGGACCTATGTGATTCAGATATTGTCGACTTCATTTTTATGTCACACTATTGGAAACTTAGAACTTTTTGCTATGCGAAAATTCAGTTTTCATATGGAAAGCAGTTTGAAAAATTATTCCATCTGATCCTATAGATGGGGAGTGGTCGAAAAGGTGTTCCGATACAATCTGTATTCAAAAGCTTTCGTGCTTTGACCTATATATAAAGTAGTGTACCAAACTTTGTCAAAATATCTAAAAAACTGACACCTATGAGTTGATTACCAAATACATGGACAGACATCTGACGGAAAAATGGACGGACAAGCACCGAATCGTTTTGTTCATCGATTGGTATAATGAAAAATGGATTTAGTTTAAGTCTTTCTGGACTTTGCGTGCATCCGCAGAAAATTAATAAATACTGTATAGTGAAGGGTATAGATATGTGTCGGTTTGATCGATAGTCGTTTGCAATTTTTCTGGTAAAAAGCAATATGAGGTCAACGTAGATATTCTGGGATTTCTGGGCAAACATGTTAACCAAGTAATGTTCGTTGGCAGAGAGTGAAAGAAATGGTAGAATGAAGCCTGGGCTATATGATAGATGCATGAAAATTTCCCAGTCAAGTTCTGTCATTTTTTTTGCAAGGCATTAAAACTGTGTGTATGGTCTGGCAGTGTCGTGATGGAAGATTACCTTGTTCCCAGTTTTTGATTCTCTTCCCTTCAACACAATTTCGCGCCTTAAACTCCCTGATTGTTGACTGCAGAAACTGCGTTTATCGGTTTGGTTAGGTTGGGATAGTTCATTAACCACAATTCCCTTCCTACTCCTATTAAAACTAAAGGATGAATTTATGCAGTGTCAAATTGTTCCTCGCCGTCATTTGTGCAGCTTTCTCCAGCTTTTTATTCACATCTTATTTTCATATATCAATCAATCGTTAGTAATGACCTTAAGAATGATTTGCTTTAGTTTCATTTTAGTAGACTTTCTTGTGGTCCATTAAATTATCCACTCTTAGGTCATGCGGTAGTCAATTGAGTTTCTTCTTATATCAATCCAAATGCTTCAGAATGCCTTTGTGGTCAAAAAACAATTTCGTCTTAGAATGGAAAAACCCAACCTTCCTCAGCTATTTGAAGAAGTTTCCCGACTTTATCAATGATGGGTAGGCCATACTGCGACATGTCTCCAATATCTAACTTTTTACAAAGGGCACCTGCATGATGTTCGGCTATGATAAAGCAACGACACCGACAGGCATCGCGAATTTTACGGAATTTTGGTTTCTTTTCAAAGTGCATTCACTATCGAATCAATTACTAATGCTTGTTGCTCACGCTTGGTATTTTCAGTTACGCGAATCTAAGGCAATGTATTGAGATAAGAATATTTGCTCAAAATACCTTTCTTTGGTTTATGTTGAAAATGTACTTACAACTTTTACATGATATGAGCATATTTTGTCTTTTTTATGTTTTTTCTTCTTCTTCTTTTTTTCTTTTCAAACCTATTGATTTTGCAGATTTCTCAATATCGGATAAATGTGAAGATTCTGGTCTGCGCGTTAATGGTAAAGGAAAGAAAATGCGTAAACCACGTACCATATATAGTTCACTGCAGTTGCAGCAATTAAATCGTCGTTTCCAGCGTACACAATATTTAGCTTTGCCAGAACGTGCTGAATTGGCTGCCAGCCTAGGATTAACGCAAACCCAGGTAAATTGAATAAATTAATCTTACATTAATCATAAGCAATTCTCGAAGAGATGAAAAGTTCATGTTCATAATCAATCGAATATAACTGGGTTGTGCTTTAATGTCAGAGTCAGAGTCAGTAAGAGTCATTATAAAATACTTTTAGAATATCAGTTGAAATTAATGAGAAGAATAAGGAAAATAAATAAAAACAAAACAAACAAAAAAGAACATGAAGAAAAAAAAAACACGTAACACTTTTACTCTACTACTAACTAAGATCACGTCAAGTGTATTGACATAGACCAAGCAACTAACCGACTAAACAACCCATTCGTTCATAATCCATAATTAATGATTTACTTAATTAGAGTAATTATTTTTATTATACGCGAACACTAACACCATTTAAACAATGACAAGATACACCGCATGTAACAACATGAAGAAATTAATTGCGAAAATATTTATTATGTTATTAAGTTCATTAGAAAGTATTTTTCACTTTTATATATAGGTATATGTACATGTGTACATATACATATGTACATATATACATATGCATAGATAGTTAAGTATGTATTTATAAAGAATTATGACATTTGTCAGTTGCCTTATAGGAAATAATTTTTTTTTTTTTTTTCAAAACATTTCTTAATCATTAGTGAATTTATGAATTTTTTCTATAGTTTTACTATTAATTTTAACCAATAAATTAGAAAATCTTTATAATGCATTATATACGTATACGCGTATGTATAATTAATGATTGAAAATTAATAAACTTAGTTGTGCGGTGACATGTGACAAATTACATAAATTTTGTATATGTCATGAATAATGCATAAGTTCAGTGATCGAGCGATGTCTTTAAAAAGTAAAACTTGCGAGAACTCATTCATTTCTTTGAAATCTTCATCGTTATTATCATCATCAGCATCATCATCATCATCCATAAAATGATTGTTGTTTTTAGACTTTCGTCATAAACACGTCAACAGCGATTGCTGCTAGAGAAGATTTACACAGCGAACAGTTTTCATTCTATATAACACGGGGCCTAACCGATGGCTATTTCGTTATAAGCGTTTAATTTATTTATTTATTTATTTATTTATTTTTTGCTTTAATCACGAAACATCTGGCCAGGGATCTTGGAGAGAAAATCGAAGGTTTGAATTTGCGATTGACTTCATTGACGTGTCTATTGACGTTATTGAAATCCTCTCTCTTTTTACATTACATTAACATATATTTTTCTTAGATAGATAAGCTGCTCATGACGAATGGATAAAAAATAAAAATTGAAAGTAAGTTAAGCTTAAGGGTAGGGTATTCTTCAGGCTATTCTTGAAGGCGATCCAAAAAAAAAAAAAAAGCAGAAACAGATGGTAGGGAAGAGAAGAGGCATGGAGAGGCCAGGATAGTTTAATTGGTTGATGCAACTGTGGTGCAGTTTCACACATCTTCACACTCCGACATTTGTTGTATTTGGTCTTTTGACATAATGATGACTGCTATCAAGCCAGGCTTTTTCCGCTACATTTGAAGATTCTCTTAACCTTCGCCTTGTATATATGAGTCAGGATATGTCCTCTACACGTGCAACACAGTGACGGTGATAAAAAATTGGGTTTAGCGACATGGATTGGCCGGAGCCTGGCACAGTGAGTGTTATACCTTTAGCAACATTTACTGTAGCTTCTTTATTACGCCAGTGGCAATCAGAGTACAGAGGAAAGACCACGGATTAATCACAATTAACACAATAGTAGTTTAACACAAGGAACAGGGCCTGAATATATCGACTTGATAATCGTGTTTTCAAACTTGACTGTACGACTGTGCAAACCAATCAGAGAAAGCCATGTTTCCTGGAAATAGCTTCGTTTTCGTTCCAAATCATTTTTTTCTGGAGGGACATATTTTCCAAGACCCGATTCAATCAAGAAGTGTAATGCTTTCTGGACATTTTCACTTCTCTGGTATATAAGTGGAACCCATTCTAAGGCTTTACAAGGCCTCATAATCGGAAGAAGGGTAAATAACTTAAATAAAACTTTACATGTCAAACTCGTAGAGGGAATAGCTCTTGATGACGCCTTCTACACTGATAGAGGAATTGCTAGCAGATTTTTTTTTGAAGTAGCTGTAGGCAATTGTTGACGGCATAGGGAGGGCAAAACCGTTTCTTTCATGTAAGTCTAAGCTTTCTTTACTCAGTGGAAGCGCACAAATAAATGACAACACTTATGCCAGCGATGAAGGGAATCTGCTTGTAATGCGAAAGAGCCCGAAAATGTAATTTACTATAAATGAGACTTAAAGGCTCAATAATTTTTTTAACAACTTAATATATATATATATGCATGTATTCGCCAACGTGCCTAAGAAGGTTTGTTTGTTTGAGTAAATGTGTTAACGTATGCCCTGTGTGTAAATGTAATACTACAATCAATAAACAACTTCCGGTAGTAAAAGTTGAACACGAAGGCGGTTTTAATTAGTGGCCAAAAAGCAAAAAAATATACAAAAAAAAAAAATAAATAAAGAAGAAAAAAAAAACAAAGGAAAAGGAAAAGAAAAGTAAACTGAAACTACATGAAAATGAAAATCGATGGCTGGACATAGTTACAGTTTGTAGTGCAAACACTACTCTTTATACACCTATATCTATATACACCTATCTACCTATGTACGTACAATTTATTGTTTTAGAAAGAAAGCGAATGACCCTCTTAACAAGTTTTGCACATAATTCATTTTATGTTTTCTTTTTTTTTTTTTTTTTTTTTTTGGGTGAAACATTAACCTTTAAAGATGACGTTGATTATTATTTTATTTTATTTTATTTATTTATTTTTTTCTTTGCTCTTTCCTCCTGCCTGTGCTTTATTTTCGCTGAGTAGATAACCAGCTAGCCAGCCAGGCCAGTCCGACAGTTACACCCATTTTTGTCTGTCTCTCTGAGCACAAGTATTTTTAATGCTTTATTTTTATTTTTCATTTTGTTGTTGTTGTTGTTGTTGTTGGCTATAACATAAATTAATTTTAATACATATTTTTTTTTTTTAGTTTTTGTTTTTGTTTTTGCTTTGGTAAGTAACCAAAGTAAAGAACCCTTCTCGGTTTTTGCCAACGAAACCCTTTCACTTTTTTGTTTTGGTCATAAATTAAACAACGAAAGAAAGAAAACGAAAAACAACAAAAAACAGCAAAAAACAACTTACACAAAATTATGACTTTAAGTAGTTGGAATATAGATATTTAATTAACACTGTCGTCATCTTATGCTAACTTCATTATTAATGGAGTTATTCTCTCTCGAAATGTGTACGAAATGTATAATGTAAGGACTTTTTGTTATTTTAAAACTTTTCCTCGATTGAAAGCAAACTTTTTTCACAATTTGTTGTTATTATGTTTTCTCGCCTCGACTCGTCGTCAGTTTAACTTTTATTTATTTAAGTAAAAGTGTTACAGTTATTGCTGTCGTTTTTCTTTCTTCTTCTTCTTCTTATTATTAATACGTTTTCTTATTGATTTACTAACCTTCTGCTTGGCGTGCCTGTTTACTGCGTTGCTGTACAGAGTGTAAATAATAATAATAATAATAAAAAAAAAAAAAATAAAAAAATAAAAAAAACAACGACAGCAATAGCTATATATATTGTGTGGGCGTGTCGTTCATTCAAATTTGTTGCACTTTATTTGCATGTCTGTGTTTAGATTTATTTATTTGGCCTATACAGGCGGTTTCTAAAGTTGTTGTTACTGTTATTGTTGTTGGCCACATTGTTGTCTAGTCTCGTTATCGCATTATGTATATACATGTAAACGTATGATTTTTTTTTACTTACCTCCATACCTTTTACTTGTTCTACGTATGTGTGACTGTGCATCTGTGTTATAAAAAATAAATTTTTTTTTTTTTTTTTTTTTTGGTGCAATATTTTTCTTAACCAACGATTGACAGCTGCCAACATTAATGGTGTTTTTTACCTTTTTGTTCAACTCGCTTCGCGAAATGCCAGCGACAAAATGAGTTATGTTAGGATTATCAGGTCATAGGTAACGTAACTTAATGCTTTGCGGTGAAGTGAAAAAGAAAATTCGCTTTAAATGTAATCTTAGAGATAACTATCCGCCACTTGCTTGTTAATTACAATAGTGTCAGCGTCAGCGTCAGCGTCAGCGATCAAAGTCAATTTTACTTTCATGTTTAGATGATTTTGACAGACAGTTGCTCCACATTTTTTCTTGATACTTACGGATAGCTTCGATTTTATTCCTTACAAAATTATTTCAATCGTTAAACTATTGCAGCCACATTTGCAAGTGAATTAGATCAATTTTTCAGCTGGATTTAGTTTAATGGTGGATTTAAGAATACTATATATTCTTCGTACGCGTCCAGATATATGGGCTTTAAGCATTCGAACAGTAAAGGAACACACAAACGAATATGCCTAAAATCATATTAATTAGGAGCAATTTATGAGCATTGTAGAATAAATTTGTGCCTCACACTTCGATTGTGTATATAAGAAATAAATAAAATTATTTTCTATAGAAGGATCACTACTTCAACACAAAGTTAAACGATTTAACCAATTAAATTCTAGTGCAAGCGATTTTTTGTCTTGAACTTATATGGGAATTTATTGAATACAAATTCCTTTTAGTTTAATCTCATCCAAAATTAATTTTTCATTTAATGGCTGTGTGCTTCTGAGATGTGTGAAAGAGAAAGAAAAAGTTAGCAGTGGTGGGGAATGAAAGGGCGGGGGGGGCATACAGACAATGAAAGAGTTAGATAAATAAATAAACATAAAGAAAGAAAGAGAGAGAGAGAGAGAGAGAAAGAAAGAAGAAAGAGAGAAAGAAAGGAAGAAAGAGAGAGAGGGAGATAGATAGATAGAGAGAGATAGATAGATAGAGAGAGAGAGAGAGAGAAAGAGAGAGTGTGTGAGAGAGAGAGAGACAGAGGGAGAGAGAGAGAGAGAAATAGGGAGAGAGAT